TCTGTGTGTGTGTGTGTGGTATGTGGTGTGTGTGGTGTGTGTGTCTGTGTGTGTGTGTCTGTGTGTGTGTGTGTGTCTGTGTGTGTGTCTGTGTGTGTGTGTGTGTGTGTGTGTGTCTGTGTATGTGGTGTGTGGTGTCTGTGTGTGTGGTGTGTATGTGGTATGTGGTGTGGTGTGTGTGTGTGTGTGGTGTGTGTGTGTGTGTGTGTGTGTCTCTGTGTGTGTGTGTGTGTGTGTGTGTGGTGTATGTGTGTGTGTGTGTGTTGGGGGGGGTCTGCCTCTGTGTGGCTGCCACAGGGCCGACTGAGTCATGAGCCCTGGATTCAGTGGAATCAGCCGGTCAGAAATGCAAATCGTCTGAAAAGACACGTCAGGTCCTCCCGCAGCCTGGCGACGTGTCACCTACAGGAACAATGGGGGAGACGCGGGTCTCACGACCACCAGAACCAGGGCTGGCCATTTTGGCGATGCCGCGTCCCCGCAGAGTTCAGCCCTTCCTTTCCTGAGTTTGGAACAGGTGGTTTCGTTTTGGGAAGGGCTGTTGTCACCCTTGTTTCAAGGTGAAACTTTAAGCTGAATTCCTCTCACAGGTGCCTGGGCCTCAGCCCAGGAATGACCAAGGCTGAGGTTAGGAGCAGGACAGTCAACTGTGTCAAGTCTTTCTTACTGTCGTAATTTTTGCAGAGGCGATTTCTTTTTTTTTCTCTCTTTGAGACAGGGTCTCACTCTGGCACCCAGGCTCTGCACAGTGTTGGGATCATGGTTCACTGTGGCCTTGACCCCCTGGGCTCAGGGAGGTCATCTTCCCACCTCAGCCTCCCGATCAGCTGGACTACAGGTACGGACCACCACATCCGGCTAATTATGTATTTGTATTTTTTAGTTAAAAGAGACAAGGTCTCACTATGTTGCCCAGGCTGGCCTCGAGCTCCTGGGCTTCTCAAAGTGCTGGGATCAGCCAGCGGCTTCAATAATATTCCACAGTTGAGCTGAAAGAGCCTGCAGAAAGCTGTGAGGCCCCACTTCGGGAATGGCGACCCACACCCCCAAGTCGGGCCCTGACCCAGGAGCGCCATCGTCTCAGTCGTCGTTAATTGGCCTGGTCTTGTCAGCAACTGTTAGTCCCTTGCTACAGATGAAAACGAGGGGCTCAGACCAGTTCGGAAACTGGGGCAATGGCTGGGTGCCGCGGCTCACGCCTGAAATCCCAGCACTTTGGGGGGCTGAGGTGGGTGGATCACCTGAGGTCAGGAGTTCAAGACCAGCCTGGCCAACAGGGAGAAACCCCATTTCTACTAAAAATACAAAAATTGGTCAGGCGTGGTCGTGGGTGCCTGTAATCCCAGCCACTGGGGAGGTTCAGGCAGGAGAATCACTTGAATCCAGGAGGTGGAGGTTGCAGGGAGTCAAGATCACACCACTGCACTCCAGCCTGGGTCAGAGCAAGACTCTGTCTCAAAAAAAAAAAAAGAAAAGAAACTGGGCCAAGGTCACGCCAGCCACGTGGCAGAGCAGGACACGGGAGAGGCAGTCTCAGGGCAGACCCTGTGGGAGTGGGGCCCACAGGCCTCACCCAAGCTGCTGACCATGCGTCACGGCTCCCCACTTCTGTGTGGGGGGAATCATTCCTGTCTGATGAGTGTCATCAGGAGGGTGACTGTATTTCCACAGCCAGGATGGACGGCCACTTCCCCAGCGTGAGAAACAGCCACCTAACACAGTCTCAGGGCTGCTGACAGTGGGCTGCCCCTCGCTGTGGCATCTGCCTCACCACAAACCACCAGCAGAAGGTTCAGAGGCCAGAGAAGGAGAGGGGAGCCTCGGGGCCAGGCCGGTGGCACACAGCTGTGCAGCACTTTGGGAGGTCAAGGCAGGAGGACTGCTTGGACCCAGGAGTTGGAGACCAGCCTGGGCAATACAGTGAGACGCTGTCTCTACAAAAATAAAAAATTTTTAAAAACTGAAAAAATTAAGCAGATATAGTGGTGCATGCCTGGAGTCCCAGCTCCTCAGGAGGCTGAAGTGGGAGGATCGTTTGGGTCCAGCAGTTTGAGGCTGCAGTGAGCTCTGATCACACCACTGCTCTCCAGCCTGGGCGACAGAGCCAGACTCTGTCTCAAAAAAAAATTTAAACAGACAGACAATTACCAAACGATACAGCAAGCTCAATTCTGGGTACACACCCCAAACAACTGAACACAGTCTCACAGAGTATTTGCACATCCCCACTCACAGCTGCATGAGTCAGAACAGCAAAAAGATGGAAGCAACTCACGTGTGCATGGATGGACAAACGGACGAACCAAATGGGATACATGCACGACGTGGAAGATTATTCAGCCCTGAAAAGGAAGGAAATTCCGACACGTGCTACAGCATGGATGAACCTTGAGAATATTATGCCAAGTAAAATGAGCCAGCTACAAAAAAGACAAATATTGTATGATCCCACTTATGTGAGTAATCAAACTCCTACAAACCGAAAGAAAAAAGTGGTTGCCAGGGGCTGGGAGCAGGGTGGGTAACATAACGTTGCAGTTTTTCTGTTTGGGGGTGGTTTTGAGACAGAGCCTCCCTCTGTCACCCAGGCTACAGTGCAGTGGCGCAATCTCAGCTCATGGAAACCTCCGCCTCCCAGGTTCAAGCCATTCTCCTGCCTCAGCCTCCCAAGTAGCTGGGATTACAGGCGCCCACCACCACGCCCGGCTAATTTTCATATTTTTAGTAGAAACAGGGTTCCATGTTGGCCAGGCTGGTCTCAAACTCCTGACTCAGGTGGTCTGCCCGTGCCTGGCCTGCATTGCAGTTTGGCAAGAGCAAGAGTTCTGGAGATGGATGGGGTGGTGGCTACACAGCAACGTGAATGAACTTAGTGCTACTGATCTGCACATGCAGAAGGGACTGGGAAAGTAAATTTCATGTTACATGTGTTTACCATGGTTAAAAACGTTTTAAATGTAATGGCTTTTGTTTCCTGTAAAAAACTTTTTATTAAAAATCACAAGTCTGGGTACGGTGACTGGTGCCTGTCATCTTTGCACCTTAGGAGGCCAAGAGGGGAAGATCGCTGAGGCCAGGAGTTCGCCCACCCTGGGCAACATAGCAAGAGTGTGCCTCTGCAAAAAAGTTTTAAAAAAATTAGCTGGGCATGGTAGTGTGTGCCCACAGTCCCAGCTACTAGGGAAGCTGAGGTGGAAGGACCGCTTGAGCCCAGGAGGTCAAGGACGCAGAGAACTGTGGCTGTGCCACTGCACTCCAGCCTGGGAAAATAAATAACGAAAATAAAAGGGCCAGGCACAGTGGCTCACGCCTGTAATCCCAACGCTGGGAGGCTGAGGCAGTCAGATCCCCTGAGGCCAGGAGTCCGAGACCAGCCTGGCCAACATGGTGAAACCCTGTCTCTACTGAAAATACGAAAATTAGCCAGGCACGGGGGCTCGGGCCTGAAATCCCAGCTACTCAGGAGGATGAGGCAGGAGAATTGTTTGAGCTAGGGAGGCAGAGGTTGCCGTGAGCCAAGGTCCCGCCACTGCACTCCAGCCTGGGCGAACCTGGGACCCTGTCTCAGAACAATAACAACAATAATAAATAAGTAAAAATCTTGAATGTATAGAAAAATTCAAAGAGGGCCGGGCGCGGC